GGCTCTGTGTTAAGATTTATAAATGCAGATATATCTGGTATGACTGTACCATGGATGTATGTTGGAATGTGCTTTTCGGCATTTTGCTGGCATAATGAAGATCATTGGAGCTACTCCATTAATTATTTACATTGGGGTGAGGCTAAAACTTGGTATGGAGTACCAGGTAGCGGTGCAGAGTTATTGGAAACGGCTATGAAGGCAGCAGCTCCTGAACTTTTCAAATCACAGCCGGATTTGTTACACCAACTAGTAACAATTATGAATCCAAATATTTTAATGGCTGCTGGTGTACCAATTTATAGAACTGATCAACATGCTGGAGAGTTTGTAGTCACCTTCCCCAGGGCATATCATGCAGGTTTTAATCAAGGATACAATTTTGCTGAAGCTGTCAATTTTGCACCTCCTGACTGGTTAAAGATTGGACGTGAATGTATAACACATTATAAAAATCTGAAGCGTTTCTGTGTCTTTTCCCATGATGAACTTATTTGTAAAATGGCCTTAGAAGGAGATCGGTTAGATTTGGAAACAGCTCTGGAAACACAAAAAGAATTAGTGAAGGCTACTGCTGAAGAAGGTTCATTGAGAGCTAAAATGTTGAAAAAAGGTCTTACAAGAACACATAGAACTGCATTTGAGCTGTTAGGTGATGATGAAAGACTTTGTGAAGTGTGTAAAACAACATGTTTCTTATCTTCTATGTCATGCATGGATTGTAAACATATGGTGTGTTTGCAACATGCAGATGATTTATGTCAATGCCCCATGGAGAAGAAGACATTAAACTTCCGATATGATATGGATGAACTGCATATCATGTTGCAAACTATAGATTTTAGAGTCAATAGTTTTGATAAGTGGATGACTGAAACAAAGAACATTCTACTTCCTACTGCTCCGGACATTGGGCGGCTACAGAAGCTTAAAGTTTTAATAGATGAAGCTGAGGAACTTAAAATACCAAAGTGTGGTTTATTAGCACAACTGAGACAAGAGTATACAAAGGCAACAGAAAATGTTGAACCAATTGTCATAGAACTAGACGATGATTGAATTCAGTTCAGACTTGTTTAGTACAAACATTTATGCCCTTGTTAATTTCGACATGTTAACCTGATTAATTGTATCCTACGTCATTATCACACCTATGTTACTGATCACATTAAGGCAGCTTTAAATATAGTGGATAGATTATAATATGATTTAAATTTAAATATCCTTATATTTATATTTTTACTTAATAACTTAAACCATATTTCAAGCTGTTCAACAACTAAATACAAATAGTTTGAAGATTTGAAAATGAAATTTAATGATCATTTTTAATTTATATAAAGTATTTCTATGAATATAATGTATATTTGAGACATGTCGTTATGGTGTTTAATAATTCTGTAAATATTATAAGCTTTTCCATTTCTTGTCATATTTAAGTAGGCAAGTCATATTATAATAGTGATTTCCCACCGTATCATAATAATAAGATTTTGAAATATTTTTAAGTTATCAACCAATGGTTATTTTCTTTTTGTACTAATTAACAGTAAGAATTTACTGATACTTTGTGAGTCAAATATTCATTTGGAGAGACTATGTTATATACTATAGTTTTGTTACAGTATCTATAAACCCTCGTGAGTTATTTATGTATGTATTTGGTTCAATATTCACATGATTGATGAGATTATAAACTGTAATATTACAACTTCAGTAAACCATATACACTATTTGCTGAAATATCCTATATGCTGAATAATTTAATTATAATTTCAATTCAATATTCTTGCAAGTCTTTAAATTATTGATCTCAATAACAACAGCATTATAAATATGCTGACAAAAGCTTTATGTATGAAACTTTTTACCTAGCATGTTCAAATTACATAATTAAAATTGTATAATTTATAATGTCGAGTATGCTTTATCTGTAAAATATAATAATTGAACAGTTTATAAATAATATTTATGTTAATGCATCACACACTCTAAAGATAATTGTATTTTGAATGTAATTTTTAAGTGTATGTGTGTTTTATTATCAGGTAAATCAATTTATGAATGAAAATTAATTGTAATGTGCACTATGTGCAATGTTTTCTCAAAAACTTGGGGTATTAGCTCACCTAATTATTGTAGACTACTTAGTATGTAATTTCTATGAATAAATATTATAAAACTTGGGGCTGCAGTTCATACTTAATGTACAGAGCCTTATAGATACTATAGTTTGTAGAAGACGTTTTTTTTCCCACATTTGGTAGATTTACTTGTTTAGCTATTCATCGTAACTAGTTTTAGAACATAAGAAATTATCGTAGAAATTGTATGAAAGAAAATATGACTCATAAAAATAGTGTTAGGTAATTATTTAACAGGCTATGAAGTTCAATTAAAAGGTGTTTATTTCTGTAAAGAGAATAGCCAAATTTGATATTTATTATAGTTTAGTAAGATTCAATTAAAGACTTTCCAGCTATACAATAAGTATGACCATCATTTTGTTCTTAGTATTAGTTCATGCCAAATTAAGGTATTTCATTGAATTCTAAGTTTATTTTGAGTGTATTATTTCTAATATCAATGCCAGTATCTATTTCCATGTCCATTGTTTATCGCATTATTATGTTACTATAACTTAACTGGTTTAAACTTTTAATCTCATAAACAAAGTCAAAATCCTAAGTGGAACATAATGATGGTCAAGTTTATTTTTGTTTTGAATTAATCTTAGCCCATAACCATTAAGAAACATGGCATTATTGAGTGTTTTAGCCAAGTAACATTGACGAAATGTGATATCATGATCCTTGTAATGTCGTTTGAAGGCTAACTGTAGAGATTCGCCATTATTTTGACTGACTGCATGTATTCATAGGTATTTAATTCTATTATGTTAAGCTTGATTGAATGATCACTTGAATGTAACTATAGTGAAATATTTTTGAGTTGTGTGATTTAAACTGTGATTCCAAATTTTATTTGCTTCTGACACTTATGGAAAATAATTAAGAGTGTGAGTATTATTCAATATAGTTAAAATTAATTAAATTCTTATATTATTAATATATACCTCTTTTATTTTGTCCTTCAATCATATTACATTTTTTGTTACATAATATGCCTTATATTTCCGAAGGCGTAAGCAAAAATGGTGCACATATTGATCAAACTATAAAATAAAAATGCAAACTGTGCATAATTATTATTTATTAAAATCGTGTAAAACTTAACATACCTAATATAAATAAGCATAAATATATTTGGTGTTATAGCTGTGATTACATCACTGTATAAAATCTATAATACCTAATACAAGTCTGGATTGTGGAACATGAGTTACATATTTATTCTTATATTAATTAATTGGATCAGGGATATAAAAGCACTTAACAGTACCTATACAGAATGTCAATGACTATAACAGTTAGATAGCACACTAGGTTTACAAACATGTATATTTCATTATATTTGTACGTACAAACCCTGATTTTAAAGTGATAAGTAACTTGGCATCCTTAAATAAAATTTATATTTTGTTTATAAAGCACAGTTTCGATAAAACAGACGATTTCTATATAAATAAAATATTTGATCACAAATCAACAAAAAGGTCATAGGTAGTATTGTTTAGTCACTTTTAAGAGGTAGTTAGCTGCATTATTTTTCTTTGTGTCAGTATAAAATAGTCAATTTACATAATATAAAATAATTCAAAATATTATTTTGATGATTTTTCTCATCGAATCTTATTATTACATTTAAGTTCATAGCATACATTGATGACATACAATATAAGGAAAGTAGATATTAATGGCAGGTATTACAATTTCGGGTAGTTCACTGAAAAACTTGAGTCATTATAATTATCATGACTAAAATTCGTGTTCGGTAATTCTAGTGCTCATTATGACTACATTTCAGATTACTGTTTACATTATTAATGTTACAACCAATTAAAATTTAATAATGCAGTTACACATTTCAATGACACAATAATTGTCCCAAAAGTATGTTTTCATTATAGTCATTAATGTTCATTTGCTTAAGTACATGTTGTCACAACCTTAACTTATTTAATAGCTGCAGCCATTTTTAATAAAAATACGCCTGAATAAATCCTACATTTATAGAAATACAACAAAAACAAATGTTATGTTTGAACAAGGCAGAGACAAAGATATATTTTCGTAAGTAGGAAGTATTTTGTTTGATCAATTAATCGCTTTGTTTTGTCCATAAAAATATATCATTTTAGGAAGAAAAATATGTAGGTATTTTAAATATGAGTTGTTATTGTAAATATCTGTGAGAAGCTAATTCATTGTCATGATGGATTATATCAACTATCGGACATATTTGATTAGGAATCTGATTGATAAGTACGTGGTTATGACGGAATTAATTATTGTTATTGGAATGCAATCACACTTATTATGTGAATCGGAAATTCCGAATTAAATTATCTAGCTCTAGCATATAGTAACAAATTATAAAACTACGTACATTATATACGTTATATAATTTAGTACATTTATAATACAATCTACTGAATACTGATTTCAATAGTGGAAGACATTTTATATTTAATCCTAAACTGGACATATACAATTCTGAGTATTCATTAGTATTGAGTATTTTAAGTACGTTTTGCATTATTAAATATGTTTTTTAAAAGCTACTCCATAGCAGTCTCTTGGAAGTATTATAATAAGTTGATTTAACTTACAATCTAAAAGTTTATTACCTTTGAATGACAGCACCATTTTAATATTGTCCAGAAGTTGGTTGTGAGCTTAATTATAGTTAATTGAAATAAATTAGTAGTCGTGTTTTATAATTACTATCGTGAGACATACTAAATTAACTAATGTAACGCGATGTAAGTAGGCTGCGCGACATCGCTGCGACCGCGCACGCTGCTCATGAGGAAGAACCCCTCTGTGGTTCGAAACTAGTAGAGTTTTTCTCGCTATATTCACGTAAGTAACCCGCGATTTAAAATTAAATTAGTAGTCAACATTATTTATGTTCTTCTGGAACCTACATAAATATTATACATACTTAGTTTAAATCAGTTAAAAATCAACATGGATCACTCAGCAACTTCATCTAAATAATATCAATCCTTATTAGTACATTTTCACTTAAGTACTATTTATAAAAATATCTGATAATTTAAAATTGTTCCTTTAGGAAATTTGCCACATTGAGATTACATTGGCATTTTCAATATTCGATGCATGAAGGCTAATTAGGTTACCAACTTTGTATAAAAACATATTGATAAAAAGTAAAAGATAAAATAAGAATACATAAGTAGAGTTAAATTTATAAATATAAAAAAAAAACTAAATACAAAGCAAAAAGGCATAAATAAAGTCTGGACTTACTAACGAGACAGTGAACACGTAGTCAAAATATAATTTTAAAACGTAAACGCAATATAAAAATGAGATTCAAATTTCGAACATTGCCCATATTTTTCGAAGGCACATTATTTAAAATCAGTACATAATATGCACATTATTTAAAATCAGTACATAATATGCACATTGTTAACACTGTTTAAATTAATTATCTTACTTAAAAATATAAAAGTACTTGAATTTATTTGAAATATCAAATACATTCAAGAATTTTTATATTTTTAACAATCTCCGCAGATGTAGATTGATCTAGTTTGTTACTGTGACTGTGTCTCTCATTTCTCTGCCTTTGGTCTCTATGGGCAGTGCGAGGCACGCGCCGGCCGCTAATACAGCCACTAGAGAGTACACACTCGTTGCTATTACTATCGAGTTCTTTAATAGCACCTGAAATAATAGAAAAATATTATTAGTAAATATAATTTTAACGTGTAAATATAATGCTTCGTCGCGAGAGAGGCTCAATCCCCCCAAAGATCAGCAATGCAACTGTAATTTCTTTAGTATTCCAGGTATCAATAAGCGGCAACGATCGTTTCCCTTCAGGTGCTAGGCTCAGTGGCGTAACATACCGTTTGGGTCCCGTGGCAATTTCATCGGATCTCAATGAAAAACAGAATTTCAGATGAAAACCTCTACTTGCCACGCTGTAGTTACGCTTCAGGCTGGGCCTGCTATTTAGCCCCCATCCCGTAAAAATGCAAAATTGTACAAAATATCTTATATACATGGTATGTACGTACGTACCTGTGCCACGTATGGTGTGACCATGGCCCCCAGTCTCGCGACTGCACTGCACGCGCCCACTGCCGTTGCACGAAGCGCCGTCGGGTATACCTGGAAAATTTGTTCCATAGTCAAAAATAAATTCAAGCGTGCGTAAAAATGTCTTCGTTGACTAGAAAATCTGTAGAAAAATCTTACCTCCGGCGTGTACACGTAAGCAGCTTGAAATAATCCCGCTATAATGCCTCTAGCGAGAAATAGTACGCATGTGAGGAACGTTCGACTGAAAGTAAATAAATCTTTTATTACTAAAATATAAAAGAATAATTTATATAGGTAGTCTAAAATTTAATACTAGTTGAAATATTTGTAAACTAAAAAATTTTGTATGTATGTAAGTAGGTAAGAAAATATTGATTCAGCACTGAGTACAGAAACAGTTATCTTTAACAACAACCTGTGTCCTTTTATAAGGGATAATTTAATTTAAGTTAAACTAAAAAGTGAATGAAGTTGTCAGTAAAAAACATAAATATTTCACTGAAGATACTACTTTCTTGAAGATATTAAACAATAAATTAATATAAATACACGAACTACTTACTTTCCATTGTAAATTAGAACACAGACGCACATCGCAAATATAACGAATTGTGTAGCCATTGTTTTCTTGCGACCGTACTTTTCAATGATGAATATCGTTGCGAATATACCTTGGAAGAAGATAAATATGTAAATATAAACGCACATCATTATTTTCTATGTATACATCTACATTCGAGATACAATATTTTTGTTCCCTTATCGACGACTACTACCCATTACTAGAGAATCTTCTCATTCTCATTCAAGTTCATACATTAGTATGTATTCGTTAGCCTCTCAAACTATTACACTAAAGTAATTCATTCTTTTATTGACCTGTGGGCATAAACTTTTATTCTTTAAATGCTTAGGTTAGGTTAGGAGATCACTCCTTATTGTATTACCGGGAAACTCAGCGAGTGTGGTCCATAACAGATCCATGTAGTCTGTGGTCTGCAGCGGCCTACAGTCGGCGGCGCAGGGCTCCTCCAGGCCGCTGGGGTCTGTCTCGAACAGCTCCGTCGTCATCAGCACCAGCCCGTAGTAACAGAATGCACATGACATCCTGGAATATAAAGTATATACCTACTAAACTACATATATTAAATAGATTTCTACCCACTGCGCGCAGCTTCATAGGCTTGTAACGTAGGTTTTCTCTAGATTTCGATTCCTCATAACATCACGCCTAATATCCCCGAAGGGTTAGGCAGAGGTGCACATTACGGCACTTAATACCACTGTACAATGTAACATCCACTTTTCACTATTTATGTTATGAGTCCCATGTAAAAGGGGGTGAGCCTATTGCCATATACCGGGCACAATTCCAGACTCCGTGCTACTACTGAGAATTTTTTAAAACTCAGATAATACTTTACCCGACCCGGGAATCAAATCCGAGGCCCCTTGCCCGGCAGTCGCACTTGCGACCACTCGGCCAATGAGACAGTCTTCGATTCTTAACCTTGAATATTAGGATACGAAGTAATGTCTTAGAGATTTAGTCACTCCAGTTTCATTGTGTGCTTGATGTTGGTAGATGGCGAGTGACTTCATTCGCGTAAAATAATGGCTTCTGACAGAATTCAACAGAATCAATTCAGTGCCTGTGCAATGATTTATCGTGGTTTCAAAAAATAAATAATCCCGCTGGGATCATACCAGTACAACGCCGGTTTCCGTAAGGTTTTAGTGATAAAATCTATTCTATAGATTATTGTTGTATCGCATCTCTCTAAAATAAGTTCAGTGGTTAAGAGGTCCCGGGGCTTTAACGCATAGTTCCCGTTCTCGTGGGCATTCAATGATCAAGGTTTCAATGATTCCAAATTCAATAGATTCAATAGCTAAGAGGATTTATACAAACTCTCATCTCCTATTTTATCCCCTAAGGGGTGGAATTTATCAAAACCCTTTCTTAGGGGATACTTATGTCATAGTAACTTTATGCATGCAAAATCTCAGCACGATCGGTTTAAAACAGACTAAGTTTCGTACTAGGGTGTTTCTTCAAAAAACTTTAACTTTTATTTAACAAATCATTATCCTCCCGCGTTGTTAAGGATCGCAGTAACTTATTAGCATCTGTTTTTTATTGCATTGGGTCAGAGCAGTGACATGGCTCAATTTTTTGAAACTAAACTTTGTATTTTAATCAGCAAAATTGTTAACTGTGGCTTGAGGATAATGACGCCGTTAATTTTTTGTTTTTTTTTTTTTGGATAATCACCCATTAACTTTCATTCCCTATTTTACCCAATTGGGGGTGGAAATTATCAAAATCCTTTATTAAGAGACGTTTAAGTCATAACATCTTTCTGCTTGCCGAATTCGAACCCGATCTGTGGAAAACTGACAAAGTGTCAAACAAACTTTCATCCCCTATTTTACCTCCTTGGGGGTGGAAATGAACAAAATCCTTTCTGAGCGGATGCCTAAGTCATAATATCTACCTACATGCCAAATTTCAGCCCGATCCGTCAAGTGGTTTGGGCTGTGCGTTGATAGAACACTATGTCAGTCAGTCACCTCTGAATGATGTATATACATATATAGATTTGTAATACTTTCTAAGTTGTTCGTTGAAATTAAGTGATGTCAAAGACAATTATATTCACAAGGAAATACTCCACAATGAAACAATCCAACAACACATTAATTTAATAGAAGATTAATATTATGTATTGTGAGTTAATCTTAAAAGATAGACATGTACTGTCGCGGACTTTTTTGTAGATCATTTTAAGATGAATAATTCGTTCATACATTTATTTTGTGTATTCGCAGCGCACGCAACGGAAGCCCTCAAAGATGAATAATTTTCCCCGTTTTTTACACATTTATCACGGTTTCTTCGCTCCTATTGGTCGCAGAGTGATGTTATATAGCCTATAGCCTTCCTCGATAAATGGACTATCCAACAAAAAAAGTATTATTCAATTCGAATCATTACTTTCGGAGATTAGCGCGTTCAAATGAACAAACAAAAAAAAAACAAACTCTTCAGCTTTATAATATTAGTATAGATGTAAAAAAACATCGTTAACTTTTATAAAATTACATCGTTGCCAATACTAATACTGATCACTTTTTATTTTGTGTTCTTTATGTTGTTGCGGAGTCACCTATTATAAAACTGATAAACATCTATTAAATTCGTACTACGTGAAAGATTATTTTGTTAAAACTTTAATATTTGTGATAAGAATGTAATTACTTGGGTAAAGATAAAGACAAATACTGACCATATAAACCAGAGAAGTAAGCTGGTGTTCCTGAGATGCGGTATGAGAAGATGCTTGAGCCGGCCGCGCTGTCCTATCCCTACGGAGTCGTCGCACACCAGACGTCCCAACAACATCGGCCGGCCATTGTCTTGTGCTATCTGAAATATCAAATAAGCACAGATTTTTAATAAGTTAAGATTTAAAATACTTTTAAATTAAACTTTTGAGGATCTATAGAATAGCATACCGCAATGTATACTTATACTATCATCAGCATTGCCAAATATAGATACATACCTGTTCTAAAGTGGCCAGAGCTTTATCTGGCTCACCACTAGCAACGTGATATCTTGCAGATTCAGGAAGCCACTGAAATACATTATTTATTAACGTTATTAAATTACATTTTCATTAATAAGCACCTTTTTAATCGACTGTCAAAAAGTGTCACCTAATTATTTAATAATATAAATAAAATTAATATCTCAACTCTATGTATTTTGCACCAGATATCTTACACAATGGTAATTATATGTACTAACAACTTGCAGCCATCCTGCAATAATATTGGGGCGAGAAAGGGAACTAAAATACGTAACAAGACAAATAAATAACTATAGGATAATAATTAATAACTATAATTTTGTTCACAGACAATTGTACAATACTTTGTCTTTTCTATGATCTTATAGTAACCATATTTTCCATTAGTTTTTGAAATTTTGTCCGTTTCATTGGTGAATTTACTAACACAAATCTCACGTACACATTACACACACATACAAATAAGCTACCTGTACAAGATACTAGTTTTACCAGTCGTGTAGCCACTTCGCCCACCTTATAATAAATAGTTATTCATTGTAATATGAAGCAGAAAAGTGTTTGTGAAGTTTGGTTATAATGAGTATTTCTGTATTATTTATTACTAAAATGGGAATACTTATATTTCCCAATCAGTAAATGACAAACATTCACTAAGGCAGGTTTTGGTACGGAAGAATTGTGAAATATTCAAAGTTATTCCTCAGTTAAAATTTATCTGGCGTTGGAAACATCGGTCCTAAATATTTTTTACCTATACTATACATAATTTTACTTTAAGAAAAAAGTATTATTTACTCCATAACATATGTTTTAGTATATTATTTTGTGTAACATTATACTTACAGGGCATATTAGGGCGAAGAATAATAGAGGTATGGTTGACAGAGCGAGGAGCCAGTGCACTCCTAATGTAGGCATTACTACCAACGCCAAAGCAACTTCTAGACAAGCTCCGAGCGCCCAGAAACACTATAATATAAAAAAAAAACATATCACATCAATAGAACTTGGCAGTTTATTAAAACTGACAGAATATTGTATGTAAAAGCTAGAAAATAATTAGAAGTGTATCATGTGAATATTAGTATTAATTATTTATTAAAAAATTATACAATATTTAATAAATCCCCAAAGTTACTAGTATTTTGCTTCACCATTTTGGCTTTGCCTTCAGGTTTATTGAGAATCACAACTATGATAGTAATACTATTAGTCTGATGACCCTGCTCAGTGTCAGTAGGCCTTTGTGATTCGAATACATTAGAATCAGCCTATTTTTTAATATACAGACCAGAATTACTGTAATTCATTTCTCAATCTGTAATCTTATTTAAAAAATTACTTACATCAAGAAGTACAACACATTTAGCCCTCTGCTTCGTTGGCAAAAATTCTGCATACAATGTGACACTGAAATTAATTAAATATCGGATTTAACAACTGTCCTACTTGCTACATAGCTTATTAATTTTATATCGATTTACTTACGATTGTGGCACACATCCTATAGCAAATCCAACAAGACCTCTTAGAAACAACAGCCACAGGAAGTTTGGTGCTATAGAGCTTAGCAAACCATAGTAGAACAGTAATACTCCACACATACTTAGAGCCTGCAAATAAAACAAGAAAATGTTAATAAATTGTTAATTAGGTATTGTTTTGTGCATTTTTGTTATAGAATACGGTGTACTTATTAGGTATATACAACAGACCATTCCATGAGAATGTGAAAAACATCACAAATCTGTAGTAATTTTGAGAACTTTTTAATGTATTTTTCGTTCATAACATAACATCACGCTTTTTATCCTCGAAGGGGTAGGCCTCTACACATTATGCCACTATACAATATAACACCCACTTTTCACCGTTTATGTTATGAGTCCCATGTAATAGGGGGTGAGCCTATTGCCATATACCGGGCGCAATTCCAGACTCCGTGCTACTACTGAATTTTTTTTTTAAAAACCCAGTAGTTCTTTGCGCGACCCTGGAATCGAACCCGAAACTCGGCCAACGAGGCAGTCAGGCATTTTTTGTTCATGTGGGGGTAAATAGAGAGGCAATCTAATACTGTTAGAAGATGAGAATTTTCTTCATTCTACCTGATGTAAATTGTAACTACCCTTTTTTCAACACAGGGGTACAGGCTAGTATAGCATGCATATGCATATACTAGGACAACATTATAAAATATCCTTTCTTAATTATGCCAAATGATACTCATATACTTACAGTTTTCCTTCCATATCGGTCACTGATGTTACCCCAGAATGTAGAGCTGAGCATCATTCCCATGAACACTATTGTAGTGGTTAAAGCTTGTTGGTATCTGGAATTGTATGGGAAAAGTATTTATTATTTTATAATAATTGTTTGTTTGTCTGTATTTATGTTATTATCAATTTAAGGAAAAAAAAACTAAATAAATGGATTATGGAATATAAACTAATAGTTTAGTGCTTTGAGTATTGCTTACCTTCCTTTGCAGGGCAGCTTATACTCTACATTGAGTTACATTATACTCTACAAAATATTTTATTACTTGTCTATCTATACTTATAATTATTATAAAGAGGAAAGATTTGTACCTATTTTTGTAAGTTTGTAATGAATAGGCTCAAAAAGTACTGGGTCGATTTAAAAAATTTTTTCACCAATAGTATGCTACATTCTTCCAATTTGACATAAGCTACATTTCATTTTGAAAAAAAAAATAGGGATCCTTGGTAAAATTTGAACAATGTAACCGAAGGTGTAGAAAAATGAGTCTAAACATGTTTTTTGTCGAATGTGCTGCCGAAACTATTAGCAATAGAACAAAATAATGTACAACAATATTGAAGAATATCATAATGTCTACAAAAAAGTCTGCGGCAGCATATGTCCAACTATTGTAGTTATGTCACTACAACAATCCAAATTTCCAAAAATAAATAATTGTTTACCCTGTGCGAAGCCGGGATGGGCTGCTAGTTGTTAATATTCTTATTATTATATGTAGGTTCTCAGTTTAATGAACCTTATAGCTTGTGAAAATTATGGAGTTGTTAATACTTACTTGCTAATATTCCATTCACAATGTAAAGCTGGTGACAATATACTTAATATAGTCATTTCCATAGAATCTGCCATCCAACACAGTCCAGTGAAGAGTGAAAGTTTAACTTGGAACCAACCAAATCCCAGTGCATTCACTGCCTGAGTTACCGTGAAAGTATCTAGAATGTGCACACAAAATGTTGAAATTATTGATATAATTTTGAATACATATTTAATACCAACAGTATTGTTTGATAGATTTTGTATATAAGTGGCTATTGATTTTTCTATATATTACTTTTGTTTCATACATATGTGTTAAGCAGTTAGCACATTTTTTTCTTAATTTTCTAAATAAACTTTAAAAAGTTTTACAGTACTTGCATATATTTTTTGGTTTATTAACTTCTTACACAAAACACGGTATAATTATGGTCGCAACTTTCAACAGACAAGAGGATATGAAAATAAAACTAAAAATAAATACTGATAACCCAAAAATGTATTGTATATGGAAAGTAGGTCCTGCAAATAATTAAAAAGAGAAGAAATTAATAATGATAATTTGTAAGTAACATTGAACAATACTGGAATTAATAACTACATAATGAGATCTATTGAGTAGATAAAAAATTTTTCATATGACACATGATTGATGTGAGTTTCTAAAGTATACAAATAAAAACTTCTTATTTTAGACTCTATTTACTAGAATATAATTGTGAGTATTGTAGTAAAAAAACTGATTTGTGAACGTCGTAGCATTACACGCTCTAGCAGCGTTTACAAATATTTAAGTGTTTGATAGAAGCCAAAGAAAGTTATCGTACCATCAGGGACAACAGAGACTGATGCCATTTCAATCTCTTGAGGTGGGGGCATGGGCGGCCCCGGGGACCGGGGCCTTATGTGGCTGTCATCTAAATCCTGATATCCTTTAGATCGACCCATTTTTTCAGCAATTCACTTCTGACGTGGATATGAACTGACGAACACCAAGTAACGGGAATATTAGCGGTTTTATACATTCAAACACTGAACCGTTAATATTCTACCACAAGAAACTGCACCAAGTCCATTGCAAAAATGTAATATGGACAGAATAATTACTTTCACACACATTCGGTCCCAAATAATAAAAATAAACAAGATTCAAAAGATTTGTTTTGATCTCATCTGTGCCTGTTATACTTTTTTTGGCAATGACATTGACGTCATCTTTTTGACAAACGTTTAGTTTGATGTTGCAAGTCGTAAAATTGCATAGTGTTTACGATTTTTTGAAAAATCTAGACTTTTTTTGAAACTAACTCAGTGGTTGTAAATCTATATTTTTTTAGAAAATACATGGAAAATACGGTATAACTTCAATAATACTATTAATCGGTGGTAAAGAATAAAAACGTAAGATAAGATTTATAGTTTGTTTATTTATTACGGAAAATTAATGAGTGCGAATGGAAATACCAACCAAAAAAAATTCAAAACAGACATAAAAATAATAAATAAATGTGTAATGTAAATAATCCTTATTTTAGACTTAAAATGGTTTATTGTGTAGGTATTTAACTTTTGGCAGATTAAGTAAGTATAAACAGTAATACGATTCCTATCCGTCATAGTCACTCTTCTTAGAGTATTTATTACTCTAAGTAGCCATTGTTCGAGCGAGACCATAATCTAAACTTGATAAAATTTTTCCAGTTTCTTGTTCTAAGTATTGAAAATACCTATAAACTCGAAATACAATTAATCAGTCCCGCTCCACTCCGAAAGGTTCTTTTGCATGTTTAGTAAACTTCTTCTTAGTTTAAACAAAAAACAAAAAAAACGATTCGCAAAACAAACTCTATTACAGACGGCTTAGTACGAGTTTGATTTACGTTTAAAGTATTCGAAACGAGTACGCGTTCGGCGCTGTGATTGGCCGGCGCCAATGAAGCAACCAATCAAAGCGCCGAACGCGTACTCGTTACGATTACTTTAAACGTAAAACAAACTCGTACTAAGGCCTCAGTTAATGGCATTCAACGTATTTTCATTGAGTGTTGTCATAGTTTTAATGTTGTTAATTCCTCAAACATTCGTCGTCATTTTTAAATAGCCAAACTATCTGTTAATTATGTTTTTTTGTCTATGGCTATAACATCACCTTCAACATCACACCTTCTTATTATAGTCTGAAGCGGCAGGTATTGTCGACAGTAGGTTAACCATAAACCTGACAACTTACCTACTTGTGAAATTGTAACACCTCTCGCAGAGGCGTAACTGTACCGTTTGGGGTCCGTGGCAAAAAGGCCCCCGTTCACAATAAAAAATAGAGAAGTTCAGACGAAAACTTCTCAACGGGCTCCTTTTAGCTGGGGTCCCGTGGCATTCTGCCGAGTTGCCACCCTGTAGTTATGCCAATGACCTCTCGTGTTGAACAGCCATGTATGGGTATCAATGATTATGAAAACACGATCATTTTTTTATTTGTTTAAATCCATTCCAATATTTTTTCAAACTAACATAGCATAGAATAGGCGGAAATAAACGGTTATTAATTTTTTTACCTTGTTAATGTTAATTTCAAAATGACGCCCACGGTTACTTTAGAACTGAAAAAAAACCCTTTTGAACTAATATTCTTTTTTTATTTAGGTAGGTATGTTACTTAAATAGTTTATTTACCAAACATAATCATCGAATACACAATAATAACATTATTTTAGACACTGTGATCCCAAATTCATAGAATAATGAAGTTAAACTTACAAGTTAACTTTTAATGAAGGCTCGTAACTTTTACCCGAATGGTTAGCAATTCACTTGGTACGTTCTTTAAAATATTGGAATTAAATTGTGAATGAATTTGGACGCTATCCCAACGAGAATCTAACGAGTAACCGGGGCTCCGGCTCGACGTGCAGGAGAAGGATCGGGGTGGTTTTTAGTCAGTAAGAGTACCTACGATGATTTTACTCACTTAAAAAAAAAATCCCAACCACTGAATTTCAGCCCAAGGATTAGAGGAGTACCTACTTACTAAGAATTAGTATTAGCGGAGAGAGATCCAGTAAAATAGATTTATTGCGAATTATGTTATTATATAGATACACACGTTTATGATTTACTATTAAAAAAATAATAATTAAGTATTCTGGTTGACCTTTTTACTAACCACCCCTATGCCATCTCTTATCTAAAAGTTACTTAGCGTGACGTAGCACTTAAACTAACCCTTTTTCTTGTACTCTTGGATGTCACTTATAGGTTGGTGAACACCAAAATGATGTTAAGAATCACCTATATCAGTTTATCCTTGAAATTGCGAGATTGGTTAATACGGGCAATAGATTTACAGATAGTCTATACTTCTATACTTGAACTATATATATGTACTTAGGTATAAATAAAAATGATTGTCCATTCGTTAGTCTCGCTAAAACTCGAGGACATCTGAACCGATTTAGCTACTTTTGGACTTGAAAATTTCATGGCGGTACGAAGTTTGCCGGGTCTGCTAGTATACAATAAATGTACCTAAGTAAGCTATAAGTACAAATGTGTGTCATTTAAACTAGCAGTAACTTAATCAAATATTGTGGAACAGGCCCTTGTTTATAATTGCCCCTTCTTGTCAGTTGAGAAGAAACAGTATTTAGGTACAAACGAATGCAAACTAAGGATTTCTAGTTTTAGTGTTCGAGGGGTGGTTAGAGGCGGTTATTGTGTACCTAAACAATTTATTTAACCAAATTCAGTCAAATCCAATCACTATTCCATTACGCATTAATTTAGCAGTAGGTAACTTATTGATCTATCTACTCGGTACAGATAAAGTCGACCTAGATACGAAATTCTTCAAGAACTTACAGTACTTACAACATTCTTTATGAGGTACTTTGGGACAGTACTATTTTTTTTTTACTTGAAAGAGATCAATGCTCTTATCTCGGAGACCTGCCTCGCGATTGTGGAAACTAGCATGGACTGTTTCAACATTGAATCTACAAAGAAATACATGTTTGTTTTTTAACTAGCATAATATGCTACGGGTGCTACGCCGTAGCGGGTTACGATGCTAGTGTACTGTGTGCCGCACGTGCTACGATGTGGTTTTCCATTTGCATTAAGCAAACTGATTTTTTTACCCAGTGATGGTAAGAGTGTTAGATCGTCGAGATCGAGACTAGGTACCTTCTATACTATCAGAGATAAAAATTTGAATAAAATTAAGTGTAGATACTCGGGGTAATCTCTGTCAATTCCCTCACAGCACAGGCGCAATATTATAATAATATGTCACTGAAAAAGCTATAAAGAAATTTGTTCATTTTAATTAAAGACCCGTCCTTTTTCTGAGTGACCGTGGGCTTGTCATAAAATATTCAGTACAATGTATTGTAGAAGCAGTAACTAATAAATAGCTATATACAAACTAAATTGTATGTACCGTTGTAAATATTTTTCTTATATTAATAGTATGATATTTTATATATCCGTATATATACGTAATATCATCATACTCTGATGTGGCTTAACTGTCATGAGTAAACCTTTATCTCAGACTCTATAATTAAGTCTATAAATGAAAGTTAACTGTTAATTCGTAATTCTGTTTTCACAATTCCTACAAAGACCGTTTAAAGTATTTCCTAGAAGACAGTATGAAGCCTTTGAAGTGACGTTCGTCAGTAATTGATTTACACCCGAATACTCGAACAGTCCTCAAACACAACCAAAGTCAAAATCAAAATCATTCATTTCAATTAGACCAGAAAGGCACATTTGAACGTCAACATAAAATTTAAAAGTGAAGCTATTTGCTCATTCCTATGGAGAAGAACGAGCAAGAAACTCCATAGGTTATATATACTCTTTTTCAATCAGGTTTAAAATACTATCTGGAGCTGACCAGTCCCAGATGACGGCGCCCGCTCACGCACATGACACGTACATCAGCACCGCCCAACTCAACCATATTGTGGGAATTCGAGCGATCCCCTGCACGTGCCACCGCCAATGAAAACTTTGAGTGAGCATAACAACTCCAAGCTGATACAAATGCATTCTACAAGTCTAATTTAAGCAGCCGTTTTAAAATAAATATTTAAGAAACGTTTCAGTATTCGGGTATTAGTCAAGAAATTCCGCAGTATGAAAATAAAGGACGTTCGTAGGCGTTATGAGAAAAGGTCAAAGGTAAATGCGTGGGTTTGGTGGCAGAGCAAGTATTACTCTGTATTTCTAAGTCTCTCAGTTTATCTCTGTAGATATTTTTTTAAATAGGCACCTTTTATTCGTTGGTTTAGGTATATTATTTGATTTAATGTATTATAATATTCTTGCCTTATTCACTATTCAAGAACATTTACTTGAATCAATACACATCGGGTAAACACGGTTGCTGGAAGTTTCTTTAACTTTACCTCGGGTTAGGGCGCTCGTGTATCAGTTTACATCCTCTTCGGAAACTAGGCGGGGTTAATTCAAAAGGATTCCTTTTCATAGCTCGTGAATACGGTTGTTAAGGTTAAAAAGGCTGGTATTAAAACTTTCGTGAGGCATACTAATTAATTATTATGTTTTCGACTTACATGGTTAGTTAGTTTATATAGTTTCGGCTTGAGTCGAGTTACTTGTCAAACAGTTCCGTGAGAAAGCCGAAAACATATTAATTAGTTAAAACGGATTTGTAGATTTAATGATACTTACTTCATTTCAAGATTTTAAAGTAACACAATATTGAAGCAATCCTGCAAACTTATAACTATTAGTATTAGCGAAGGTGTACTGAATGAATTTAAAGAGTATTCGAAATCTCATTTTTATACTCAATGCTTACTGTGTCGTCTGACTTTCAATTATACTTTAATAGGGTTCTACCTATGAGTTCTCTGCAACATTTTCTCATTACTACTAGGGGTATTAAAAAATTGTCATTTCTATCCTTCTCTTAAAATGTGGGGGAGCCATGCGTCGACACGAACTCGAACACGGCTGGCTCGACTGGTACGGCCCCACAGAAAAACAATGCTGGCATTGTTTCATCGTGTGAGTGAGGTTACCGGAGGTCCATTTAACCTCTCCCCAATCTCCCCAATCCCTGAATCCCAACAATCCTAAAATTCCTAATCACTAAAACGCCGGTAACGCACTTGTAACGTGTCTGGTGTTTCAGGTGTCCCATGGACGGCGCTTATTGCTTACCATTAGGAACACCTGATGGTAAAAAGCAAACAGATCACTGTTTACTCGTTTACCAGCTAAAAGTTATTTATTTTTATAATAAATCTGTAGAGAGGTCAATTCTGGATATGACATATATTTCAAAAATAACTATCAGGGTCTTATTAGGGCTGATGCCCAAAATGCAATTAGTAAAATTTTTTACTGTCTATATCTTCGTTATTTGTATATCCGTTATAGTAACAGAAACTGCTTGACGGATTTTAACGAAACTTAGAACACTTATTTATCATATTCTTGAACTGGTTATAGTATTTTTTCATCACGCTACGATCAATAGAAGCAGGGCAGTGATGGGAAATGTTGGGAAAACAGGAGACGTTACTCTATTTTTTATAAGCTTCCGTCGCGTGTGTAACCTTAATGGTTAAAGGTACACAAAAATCATACATCACGAAATGTTCTCCTTAAAGATATATAAAAAATATCCCACGACGCAGAACGCGGGCGAAGCCGCTAGTAGAAGCTAGTTTTAAATATGAGTAGGCGAGTAGATTCGGCTAAAGTGGATTCTTTAGTCATTGATGAGTAGCTATTTCAATGTTTTTGTATTTTTGACATATAAAAATATAAGATTGTGTCAAAAAAAATTTAAAAAGTGTTTTTATTGTGTGAAGAGGAAAATACTCAAAAAGAAAAGTAGTTTAAATAATAATAAGTGTATTCAGAAGCCTGCACCATAGTAAAGTTGTGCTTATTTTTTCAGAATTTATGATGTAACATATTGTGGACAGAAACTATCTGTCAGCGACTTCGTCCGCATTGTCCGTATCTTTGCCACAAAGATACAGGTACTTCCACAGGTACTGCCACAAAGACAAAGGTCAGTACGTACTATAATTGTGGAATGCTATATAGGAACTCGGGTAGGTTTTAGGTGCTTTATTGGTAAAATAAAAGACAATGAAAATGCTTGTACAATTCACGAAATGATTGTATTACTTTTATTCTCATTTAAATATTGATACAATTTCATAGCTCTCTAAGTTCGGATTTGTATCCATATCCATAGGTTCATTTTCAGTTATAAGTAGGCTATAAGTAATTAAAAAAAACCTATCTATGAAAATACATTAATGTCTATATTGAATACAAATACACAGATAGCAATATGTATCTACGGATAGACAATATTCTGAGCAATATTGTGCAAAACGGCATCTAAATACCTGCTCGGACATGTTTAGTACAATACAAAATTATATTTTTCTACTACTTCGTATAACTTCTTAGGCTCTCATAATATAGGAGTTTGCAGACCGTAAAAATAATAGCTGAGATTGTAACAATAAAGTGTACAGAACCCTAACTGTATTTTAAAATATTTACTTCCATTATGTTTAACATCAACTAGTAATACTTTACAGGTCACATTATATTACATTACAACTAATTATAAGGATCATGTCATTTCAACGTAGGAAAGTAATTTGACGTTAATATAAACAGATATGTACTTTGAAAGATACAATTACTTATCAAATCTTAATGACAAACTTGGATTTCTTAAATACAAACTTGGAATTTTAGAAAATGTGGTCACAAAAATTGCTGAAAGATGAACGTAAGCGAACTTTTATTTTAAAATAGCAAATAGAAAATGGATTAACAAAGTTTTATTTTTTTGTGTTTTTTCTTGGTCTTATAGACCAGATGCATATTAAATAACGTTAGGTAAGAAGCAGTAAAGCTAAAATATCACGTAATCCTCTGCTTCCCGAGAGAATCTTAACCCTAACAGATATATAATTTATATATAGATACTAAGTACGTGTTGCGTCTTTGCTTTGCAAAAAGTTAGTTTTGTGTTAAATATTGTCTGCATAGACCGATAATTAATTTAACTTAAAATAGTGAGTTAGCACCCCAGAGAAAATACAATGTTTACCAGATAGGCCAATAACAGTTGTTACAAACAAATGAAGACAAAATTAATTATAATCAATTCAGTAACTACCTAATTTCAAAGAATATAGAGAATTCGTATGAGAAAATCTCACGCATATGTTGCCATAGCTTGCAATCAAAGAAGCAAAACTGCCAAACTATCGGCAGCAGTTTTATACAAAATGAAAAAATAGTTACCGAATGATTTTCATTTCGATATTTCATGTATTGACTTCTATCTAAATATGTAATTATAAGTCTTAGACGATCAGTACCTACACATATTTACAAATTGCACTCGCGTGCGACATAGTAGCTGCCAATTGAAGGAGCAACTTTAATAATAGCATCATGCATATTTCAGTCAACGACTCATTTGTTCTAATGGAGATTATAGTCACAGTTTGTACCATCATTTACACCCGTACCCACACTTAATATAGCTACACTAGTTCTGTAACGGAAGAAGTGACCATACAGATAGAAAAGGATTTTCTAAACTCTTTGTATTATATTATTGACACGTAATTACTTAATATATTATTCAAAGTGGACGACAAAAGTTTATGTAATGTATCTAAACCTTATATATGCTCTTGACAAATGTTAATATTTTTTTGTTATTTTGTTTGCCTCCTATCGCGAACGTTCTATGATGTCGCCGCTGCGTAACTATTTAATCTACTTATTACTCAGTCTCATATTTGTTGGCGGTAATTCCGAAGTATTTGTTTAAGTGGAGATGCGATGTTTTAGGCCTCGAAGTTCTCCAACTAGATCCGAGTCATTAGCAATATAACGCTTTTCGATTCTTCGTTCTTTTGCTGTATCCTGTTGACAAAATAAAATTATGTTAATTAAGGACTCCATGTTCCTCAATAGTGCCGGACGTTATGAGTGGAATCTTAATGTGATGTACGAGGTGTTATTAGTGCTTGTAGCGGTATCCCCCCGGCGCGATTGACCCGGCCTCGGGGCCCACTGTATCACCCGCCAGGCAACCACCCCCGGCCCGGCCATGCTATTTTTAGACTTCGGAGCTTGCACAGTCTTACTGCCTTCCCAAACAATGAAATAATATTAACCATTTATAATAAAGTGAAGGGTATTTGTTTTCATTTTAAGTTGGACCCTATTTTGGCTAAAATAAGAAAAAATTGTAATGTTTATAATGGAATAACTTACTTGTAATTTCTTGTTTGTTTTCTTGTCCGCGAAATACTGCACGATCGTATCGTAGAAAGCATTGCTTCTTTTGTTCTGGCTGTTTTGAGGTCCACGACTAAATGGGTTGGCTGCAGGCTGTGGCCTCACAAACTCTTTGTCACCAGCTTTGGCCGCCTCTGTGGTAATCTGTGGTGCAGCGGTAGTTACGCTTCTCTTGTTTCCGTTCCAGTTGATGAAGCCATCATCTGATGCATAATCATCATCGTCAATCCTCGGCACTGTCTTGGGGACATGGTACAAAGGTTTCCCAGCCAAAGCCTTCAGTTCTCGCACGTCTTCATCTTGGGCATCAGGCTCGTCATAATCAACAGGCGGGAAGGCTGCGCGGGCATTCTCGCGCCGTCTCTGTGCGTCTTGTGCCATTTGCGTAAGAATCAAATTATCGAGGAAAGCTGCACTGACGTCATCAACATCGTTGGTTTGCCAGCGGGGCGTGGTGTCACTCTCAAACCAAGTTTCCTGTCCAATAGGCAAGGCGGCTAGTCTCTCTTCCTGCCTTTTTGGCGCTTCATTTGCAATAAAGTGACCGTACGGGTCGTAGAAATAGGGGTATGGAACTTGAGCGTGCATTTCTGGGACACCAATCGCTGGAGCATCATAAAAGTATTGTACTTTAGGAGCATAGTAGTATTCATCATCTGGGTATTCCCTAGATGTTTGCGGGTACATAGGCCATCCCTGCATAGGGTAAGCCTTTGCTTGAGCTACTAAGTAGCCAAGTAAGACCGATAATAACCTAAAACAAAATTCGCACTGTTATCATTTGACAAAACTTTGGAACCTTGGCGTTATAATTAAAGGGTTGTTATTATTTGTTACTCCATATCTATTTGTAATCACTTTTTTTAATTAAAGAAAGGCAATAGAAAAATTACTAAATTGATATTCACAAAATAATTTATATTTACAAAATATTATCAGAATTATTTTTTGAGTTATCAAGAATATTCTATTAAAAGAATAAAGCTCACCTAAAGCTCGAGAGCCGCATGTTGCACATAATTCACAAATAGATGTTGGTCTAGGCGCGATCAGAACACGACTACGAGTAGGAGGGGAGGGCCGGCCAGTTTTATAAGCAGGTCGCCCACGCGCGCCGCCCACACGTTCTCAATGAAACAGCGCCCCCTGTAGCCCCCTGACCGACCCCCAGCTCCTCCACCTCCAGCCAGCCCGACGTGCACCCCCCTCCTAGCTAACCTCAACCCGCGGCATTCTACTATTGATCGCGCCCACAGATTATTCATCTTGCTATGACACTGTTTTTACTCCTGGAAAAATGTCAATGACAACTTATAGGCAGTTATTTCATAATGCTCTCTCAGTTTAGGCAATCGGTTTTTGTATATGTCATCAGGAACACTAGTTTAGAACGGAGGGGCGCACAACATTCACGTAGTGTGGTATAGTCACAGTCATAAAGCCGAGCGCATGTAGCTACTGATTCGGTATTTATATCTAAGGGTTAAATTTAGAACAGAATCTGGATCGGCGAAGAGGGATGCAGAATAGGTTAGGTAACATAAAGTATTAGTTTCTCAGCACATTTTGCTTAACGACTTTAAGCTTTGGAACAGAATTGTTAATTTCGTTTCGCGTTTACAAGGAATTCTCGTTAAAGTTAACGCTCCAGTTCAAGTAAATTATAGTTATACAAAATAACTACATTGCAGAAATAAAATAATGTACTAAAGGTATATTCTTCTTTCATTTTTATTATGTTTTAACTATCATGCCACGCAATATGTATTATCTACCATTTTAAGAATAATTGCAGAATCATGGTTTTGTTCTTGGACCCTGCTTGGATACTGATATTGTGACCTAACATTTTTTAAGTACTATATTACGTACTACCAGAATCTGTTCAAACAGATCAAACAGACGCGACAGAGGACGTCCGTTGAGAGATTGCCTCATTGACAGTTTGGCAATAAGTGTGATTACCGAGCATGGGGTCTTAGACTTCGTTCTCGGATCAGGCAAAAATTAAAATAAGGAATATTTCCGTAATTTATATTTCAGCAAACCTACAACGAAAATAAATGTTGCCTGTACTATGTAAGGTCAAGACATTCAACTTGCCTTACCCTGGAGTTGAGTGTTCTTCTGAACTTCCGAACTCGTGTAGGAAGTAATGATCGTAGCTACGTCATGAGGAAAGTACTGTACGAGCACAAGTACAAGATACAGACTGCGTCAACTCCCTCTGCGTCTGGGGACGGACTGTCTAACCACAATTAGGTATTAGCTTTAGTCTAAATTAGGCAAAATGTATGTTGTGTTTCTGGAATATACTTTTAAACTTACATATAGAGGAGTACCAAACTGTTAATAGTAAATAAATTTATGTTAAAGCATTTTTAAAACTTCGTCTTTGGCTGAGTGGTTGCAAGTGCGACTGCCGTGTCTTACACAAATATTTGCCGATTCGGAGTCGCGAAGAACATAACGGGTTACCGGGGCTCCGGCTAAACGTGCAAGAGAAGGAACGGGGTGGTTTTTAGTCAGTAAGAGTCTGACACTCCCTCCCGCCTCACCCAGACGAGAGCAGTCATTCGATGATTTTCCCCCCTTAAAAAAACACACACACACATACATACAAGCTTGTAAAAAAACAGTTACGATATCTGACATAGCAATCACATTAAAATTTCAACCATCATCTCTATCAACTCACAATAAACAATAATTTATCATCAATTAATTAATTTATTTTCTATACCGACTTCACAAAAGGAGGAGGTACTATGTTCAAATGATTTTTTTTTATTATTTATATTCACCGATTACTCCGCCATTTGAGAACCGATTTTCAAAATTCTTCTTTTGTCCAAATCAGGATCTGATTATAGGATCTCAGGAAAACCGAGGGGAACTATGAAAGTTATAGGTACAACTAGTGCGTTTGTTAATATATTCAATAGATATTTCAAACCGGTACAATTTGACATAGGTTTGGAGTCGATACGATTATGGAGCCGGAAGACAGTCGAGGGAACTCCTCAACGGTTTAAAGTAACTACCTTGAATTTGGACTTGATTAATTTGTATTTTAACTTATCAGTAGGTGAGTAGCCATCAGAAATAATATTTTTTTGCTTTATAGTTTTTACTTTTTGTTTGTTTTTCTCCGGTAACCGCAGTCACACGACGAAACACAACGCAAGTGTTGTTTCACGTCAATTTTCTGTGAGGCAGTGGTATCACTCCGGTCGAGCCGGCCTATTCATGCCGAAGCATGGCTCTCCCACACTTAAGTTCCACACTCACATACTTGAGTTAACCACTCCCGGACTGTGGGTTCGCGTACATCACTTTGATACGGCGCCGCCAAAGACGACTGATCCCTGGAAAATAGCTTCTATTTCTGAAAATAAATCGAAAAGCAAGATGTTTTCTGTGAGGACTATCACATTAGAAATACTTTGATGTAAAAGGACTTCTGAGCGAAAAAACATATCAAGTTATAGCCTTAATAACGTTCCTATTTTGGGAAGAGATTAGTTTTTTGTGGAAGGAATGTAATTGGAGGTCGGAGACATGGAGTCGCAAAGGTCAACATTTACAGAAAGAAAAACGAAAAAACAAAGGACAGACAGCGGACAATCACCTTCTCATCTATGTATGTTTCTAGGCATTTTGGTGGAATTCCAAAACAATAATTATTTTTAATGAGGGTAAAACGAACCTACCCTTGGAGATTTGCTTCAGAAATTATTCGTGTATTATATGACTAGGTACTATTAGGATCAAGAACCTTAGAATTTTTTTAACTACATTCCCAAATAGAAAGAAGTTCTCAATTCGGCTGTTACCTTTTTTATGTTTGTACATCGACACCGCGTATTGTAGACCGATTTGGGTGATTATTTTTTTGTTAGACGCGAAATAGTTGCCGTTTTTAGTCCCATAAAATTTTTATTCAGTTTGGTTTAGTACCTCTAGTTTTTATATTAATTGAATTACTGTTCATTTGGAAAATTGCCAAAATGGATATGATTCTTTATAATTATTTTATTGTATAAGCGATATAATTACTTCAACGAAGTCATTTTCACCATACTTAATATGATATATTAGTTTTTGTTACCTGGTCAGCGTTTGAGCATGAGATCGTAGGGAAATCGAGAGCAACCCTTAAATTATATAAAGATTATTCTGACAATTTCATAAAGTTATCCAACCAATTGCGTCCGATGATCATCATTTCGTGTCCATGAGCTGATGATGGAAGATACAAACTCCTCAATGATTAGGAGTTAGAAGAAAATTCGTTCAAAATTATACTAACATATGTATCGAGGAAAATGTTCTTTGAGGTTATTAGGTGGACTTGTTTATAAAAGGCAAAACACATTGTGTTTTGGTTTTAAATAGAAAAATGGCTGTGGTTCAATATTAATATTTGCATGAAGTACCTATATCTTTACTTGTTTCATTATTTCCATATACCTATTAAACTAAAAAGTAAGAATCCACCAACCTAAGTTTTCGTAAATAGTTTTGTTCAGGATTTAAAACAGAATTAAAAATTTGACTGTACAGGTTCTGGTAACTTCAGGGCTCGTACACAAGTACTTGCGAATTGATTCGCATTGCGCATCTAAATCTTTCTTCCTAAAATCTTCTTTATTGTTTTTCCTGTATCTCCCAAGCAATAACAAAACCTGCACACTTCTGTTTACGATCCATGTCACGACTTAGTTTTCAATTTAAAATACGTTTAGTGCGGTTGACGGTCGTCGAAGAATTGGTCCGCCTTGTCGAACGAATTCGCATCGCAGCAATTCGCATCGAAATTTTGTACATTCTCATCGCATCGCATTGCAGTTGTGTGTATGAGCCCTTACTCGACTGTCGAACATACTTACTTACATACAAACACATACCTATATGGCGGTAAGTGGTGACATAAAATATAGATGTTAGAATTGTATTTTCATTCTTTCAATTTCGAAACGATTGAACAACAAAAATATTAAATTGTCAACAACAAAAGAGTAGGTAGATACTAGATACTCTATTCTCTACACTTACTTGGTGTCTACACGTGGAACACATAACTTAGTTACAAATCTGCTTCAAATAAATTGATGTACCTACTCGAACTGAATCCCAGCGGACAAGTGCGAGTTTCATGTAATGTATATAGGATTATTGCCAGCACATATGACTGTATACACATGACACAAAATTGTATAAGAATTTCTTTTCTTAAAATAAAGCTTTTTATCTTAAATTGTGAAAAGGACACAAACATTGTAAGTATTTTTAGGTTCATCAGTATTGAAATTCGTAACAGCATTTAAGTTACATAGAACTAGCCTGCCTAGAACCACGTCGTCCTGGCGAACTAACGCAGGATTATTGTTTTTTTTTAATTAAAATTATTTTCTTTCCCTTTTGATCTCCTCAGGGATCAAAAACCGTAGTGTGATTTAAGTTTTCTATTTATTTTTTATTAGTTATATAAGTTGGCGTGATGGTATTTATGACTTTCTTTACATTCTACAGTTAGGTACAGTTCGAAGTACCTGATATGAATTGTAGACTGCACGGTTGGTGCGGGGGCTGAGCAACTGGTTGCCGAGCAACGTGTCGCGGGTTCGATTCCCGAGTTTGGGTGTCATGTATATGTGAACTTGTATATTTATAAACGCACACACGACACAGGAGAAAATCCTAGTGTGGAGCAACGTCTTTTGTAAAAGAAAAAAAAAGAAAGAAGCATTGTGACATCATAATGTATCATGTAATGTTTATAGTGTACTGTTTGTTTTCCCAAATAAATAAAATAAAATCTAGGCTACTCAATATGTAAAGTAGTACAGAGTTCAAAGCAAACATATCCATGTGGTTGTGTTCACTCACACCCATACTTATAATGATCTAGCTTGTCGCTGATAGTAATTTAGGTAACACATCGAAAGTTCAAAGGTTCATTTACTTCAGTTTGAGTCTATATCGGTACTGCACGAATCGATTACATGGATCCCTATATGTGTATAATTTGCTTTCGTAACTATTATGTACCT